ATATCTCTCTGACCAAGAAAAATACACACTAAAGGTGATGTTCTTCCATAACCAAGTTGGAAATAATTTGGCTTGACAAGACCTATGGTCTAAAATTTACAAATAAGTTTCACTTTACCCTGGAAGAGGAGTTTCTCCCAAGACAAGTTATCAAGGACACTGAAGGTTTGAACAGTTTCTCCACAGTTGGTGCATTATTCAGTTTGAAGGAGTCTGAGAGACAGAAGGCTAAAGATGTGGCTGATGTTTGAGCAGTACTTCCCAGAAGTCCAATGGAATAATCACAGCTGAAAGGAGAGGTAAGTCTAAGCTCTTACAGATGGTGAAATGACTGTTTCTCCTTCCCCATTCCCTAACTCTGAAGGGCAAATGTTAAATCCAAAATTTTCCTGTTCCTTGAAGTTTTTTTTTTCTCTTTTACATATCTGTTTCATTAGTACTAATGTCAACTTGGATCAGTCATAATGGCTTCTAGTTTGCTGGCTTTGTTATTTGTGAATTTTTAAAAGAGGGATAGCATTTAGACAAGGTGTACAGATGAAACAGAAAGGAAGAACATGGACCTGTTTTATCTGAACCGCGCATTTGCGTATCTGTGTGTGTGATTTGGAATATTTCTTTCACTACTCTGCTCTATACTTGTTCAGAGGAACTCCTCCATGGGGCAAAGCCAAGGTCAGTGACCAGGGAAAAGTCCTTAACTCGTGCGAGAAAGGGAGTGACAAGACTGATGCCCACATTCCAGATATGGGGGCTAGAAGAAAGGAAGTGAGATCCACCTCTTTCTCAGAAGTTCAGCAGGTGAATTTTTCCTCCTTAAAGACACATTGTTACATAAGAAAGTAGGGTGATTTGTGGCTGTGTTTGAAATGAGAAAATAAAAAGGAAATCGAATGGTTTCAGAAACTTCTGAAAAATAAAATGACGTCCTATTCTTTCTTTATGGGTTCAGATATCCTTAACAATAGTTACACGTAAAAGCAGGTTTTGCATATATAGATTTAATAAAATGGGGGAAACAATTATCATTTTCTAACAATTCTACCTAAATCAATTTATTTATTCAGTGCCATGCCAATAATCAAACTACTAAAAACTTATTTTATAGAGCTAGAAAAATAATAACAAAATTCATCTGGAAGAATCCAGAATATCAAGGGAATTAATGAAAAGAAATGCAAAGGAAGGTGGCTTAGCCATACCACATGTAAAAATTACTTGGTACTGGCTAAGAAATAGAGTGGTGGATCAGTGGAATAGGTCAGGTATACAAGACACATCAGTCAATGACTATAGTAATCTATTGTTTATAAACCCAAAGACTCCAGCTTCTGGGATAAGAACTCACTATTTGACAAAAACTGCTGGAGAAACCAGAAAATAGTATGGCAGAAACTAGGCATACACCAACATCTTACACCATATACCAAGATTAAATCAAAAATGGTACATAATTTAGATAAAAAAGGTGATATTCTAAGCAAATTAGGAGAGCAAGAAATAGTTTACATGTCAGATCAATGGAGAATGGAAGAATTTATGACCAAACAAGAGATAGAGAACATTATGAAATGCAAAATGGATAATTTTGATTACATTAAATTAAAAAGGTTTTGCACAAACAAAGACAATGCAGCCAAGATTAGAAAGGAAGCAGAAAGCTGGGAAACAATTTTTACAACCAATGTCTCTAAAAAAGGCTTCATTTCTAAAATATACAGATAACTGAGTCAAATGTATTAAGAATACAAGTCATTCCCCAATTGATAAATGGTCAAAGGATATGAACAGGCAGTTTTCAGATGAAGAAATTAAAGCTATCTATAGTCATATAAAAATACTCTAAATCACTATTGATGAGATAAATGCAAATTAAAACAGCTCTGAGGTGCCACATCACACCTATCACATTGGCTAACATGACAAAACAGGAAAATGATGAATGTCGGAGAAGATGTAGGAAAATTGGAACCCTAATGCATTGTTAGTGGAATTGTGAAGTGATCCAGAATGGCTGGAGAGCAATTTGGAACTATGCCTGAAGGGCTATAACACTGTATGCCCTTTGATCCAGCAACACCACTTCTAGGTGTGTGTCCCAAAGAGATCATAAAAATGGGAAAAGGACCCACATGTACAAACATATTTATAGCAGCTCTTTTTGCAGTGGTAAAGAATTGGAAATTGAGGGGATGCCCACCCATCAACTGGGGAATAACAGAACAAGATGTGGTATGTGAATGTAATAGAATGCTATTGTGAGCAAGCAGACTTCAGAAAAACCTGGAAAGACTTACATGAACTGATGCTGAATGAAGTGAGCAGAACCAGGAGAACATTGTACACAGTAACAGTAACACTGTGTGATGACCAACTTTGATAGACTTAGCTCTTCTCAGCAATGCAATGATCTAAGACAATTCCAAAAGACTCATGATTGAAAATGCTATCTACATCCAGAGAAAGAACTATAGAGTCTGAGTACAGATTGGAGCATACTATTTTCTCTTTTTGTTATTGTTTCTTCTTTCTTGTTGTTTTTCCCTTTGGTTCTGATTTTTCTTTACAACATGACTAATATGGAAGTATGTTTAATATGATTGTACATGTATAGCCCATATCAGATTGCACGCCATCTTGGCAAAGGGGAAGGGGGAGAAAATTTAGAACTCAAAATCTTACAGAAGTGGATGTTGAAAACTAAAAATAAATTAATTTAAAAAAAGAATTATTTTCTCCAATGTTATGAAACTATCACTACTGACTTTTATTTAAATGTCTACAAATGTTAGTCTCAAATGTAATTTCAGACATCTGCATTCATTAAATCCAAATACATTTGGAAGACAGTGGCATCCAAAATATTCATCCTCTCTGCAACAAAGAGAGGTATCGGCCTTTGAAACAACATGAGGATGTTGTTAACAACCACAACAACACAACAAAATCTATAGAAAGCTTCTTATATCTTTGAATATGGCACTTGGAGTTTTTTAAACCACCAGAAAGCTTGAAAATCTGCATATACCTTGAGCCAGCCTATTGTGACACCATACCTGGATAAAGAGTCTCAAGAAAGGTATGTAAATATATACATACTTAGACAGTCAGGAATTTGTAGTTCAGAAGCTGTTTTAATCATGTCTGATTCTTTGGGACCTCATTTGGGGTTTTCTTATCAAGAATACTGGAGTGTTAGCCATTTTCTTCTCCATCTCATTTTACAGATGGAGAAGATGAAGCCTACAGGGTTAAGTGATTTATTCAAGGTCACACAGCTAGTAAGTATCTGAGTCCAGATTTGATTTTAAGGAATATGAGTCTTTCTGACTTCAGGCCTGGTGCTGCATCCACTGTGCCACCTATGTGCCCTACAGACAGGAAGACCAGAATTTGAATTTGGCCTCAGGTACTTACTGTCTGTGTGACCCTGAACAAGATACTTAGTTTCTGTTTGCTTTGGTTCCCTCAGCTGTAAAATAACAATATCACCTATCTCAAAGGTTAGTTTGTAAGGACTAAATAAGATAATATTCATAAATTGTGCTTAGCACAGTGCCTGGCACATAGTAGACACTACATACATTCTTATTCCTTCTTCTTTCCCCCTATATGAACAAGAGGGTAAAAAAAAAAAGAAATAACAAATGATAGCACGTATTTTGTCGTATTGTTGTAATATCTCCCTTTTAATATTTACTTTAAGAAAATATTTCCAATCATTTCTTAAAATACTTCTAATCATATATATGTGTTAATTTTGATTTTCACAGATTCAAACATGAACATTCCCACACACAAGAACAGGGGAAAAAAAATACTTCTGGCATTTCCCTCAGCTCTTGACACTTTCTCATCCTGCAATATTCCTCCATGGTACCTGATTCCCATCTCCTACTAAATTCCTTTAAAGAAACAGGCGTGGAGCAGCTATTCTAAAAACTTTGTTATGATGCCCAAGTGGATAACCCTTTTCTTTTCTATCTTTTCTATTTTCTATTTTGTCTTTCCCCATTAGAATGTCAGCAGCTCCTTAAAGACAAGGATTGTTTTTTGTTTGCTTGTTTGCTGGCTTGTATTTCTATTCCCAGTACTTAGTACAGTGTCTGTCAATAAATGCTGGCTATTCATGTGCCTCCATGTGAAACCACAAATCTCGGTTACATACAGCTTGTTTTTTTAAATATATAATGAAATCAATCAGTTAGTTTCAAAACTATTCTGCCAGTTTATCTCCCTTTTGAACTTCCTTTAGTTCTATTGTACATTTTTAAAAAAGTATTTCAATGACAGTTTTGAGGGGGGAGCATTATTAGCACTAGGACCTCCCCCAAAGTCCTTCCCCTGTATGAAATAAAGCACAATTGAGCAAAACTGATCCATAAATTGGCAGTATCCAAAAATGTAGATCTCATCCTTCACCTCTCTCGTTAGGAGGTGTGCAACATGTTTCATCATTAGTCTCCTGAAATAGTAGTTCCAACAATTTCTTTCTATAAGTTAGACTTATCCTACGTAAGACTTTGGAATTTTGGACATTCTAAAAGATATCTATATTTATTTCCTTTTTTCCCCTGAGAAACCTTTCCCTTAGCTTTATTCTAATTCTTTTCAGGTTTTGTGACAATTGGAAGAAATAACATATAGAAAAAGTTGATGTTGTGGGTCACAGTGCTTGGTGGTAACTTTAGTTTTCATCTGATTTTTTATTCATAATAATGGTTATTATATTTAGTTCAGTCTGAGTGTGAAGTTAGAATTTCGGTTAGATTCCAGTTTTCCCCACTTTGAGAAGTCAGGGCCAAAAATTGATTCCTAAAAGGAGAACAATATACTAAGATGTAGCTTGAAATAAAAGGGAGGTAGTTGTTATGTAAAAAGCAATCCACTTTATTTTGGCTATGGGGTCTTAAAATCAGACTTTGATCTGACAGGCTAAAGTTTCTTCAAAGATTAACTGGCCTTCTTTAAAAGTACATCAGTTTCCTCTTAGGCAGATATTTGCATAGCAGTGAACTGGGTGTTTATTGCTGCAAATCATTTGCTGGTCTGTAGATTTCCTTAAGAAATTCTGCTGACATCATTGACTCTTTTCTCAGATTCCTTTCCTTCGGGCTCCCTCTCCTCTCTCACTCTCTCCTTCTCTCTCTAGTTCATTCAGGTAATTGTTATTCAAAATCAAACCAACCTTTTTTTTTTCAGTAACAGTGAACAAGAAACATTTTCATTTTTTCTATTTTCCTGAAGGACCCCGAGTTGGCTGTTAATTCCTTGTTCTGTTATGACAACATCTAAAAAGAAGTCTGCATATATTGATCTTTGCAGGTAAGAGGTACATACTTATTAAAGCACTGGAGCATGTAATGATCTGGGAGCTATGTAAACACCACCACAGCAACACCCTTGCTTTCTAAAGTGCAAGTCTTAAATTAAGATTTTTTAAAAAGCAGTTTCAGGAATTCAAGAGTGAAATTCAGTAATTCAATGTTGTCAGAAAGAATTTAAGAAGTACTTTTTACTTGTAGAAAAATGGGTTAATACTTGAGGATGGCATAGGGGAAAACATTTATTTATTATCTACTAAGAAACAACATCCAGATGTCATGTTTGCTGTGTGTTAGAGATGCTTTGTTCTTGGGAGAAACATTCTTATTACTTCTCTTTGTATAAATTTCTTTTATTTCAGAATTTTTGAGAGCTATGTTTTTTTCTTGAATTTATGTTATTGTTTTAAAGCTTTTTCCTCCAATAACTTTCTGTCAGTTACTTTTCTTTTATTGGTGAAAGAAAGAAGTTTAGGTTATTGTTAGGGAAAACTTGATCAGGGCATTTTAAAATTGGTTGCTTAGCCATGTAAGAAGAGATTATATAAGTTTTCTGTGCTAGGAATAAGGAATGTAAACAGTTCTAACTTGGAGGACATTTTGAACTGTTCCTGATCCATAGAAGGTACCTTTATATGTTTAGACTTAGTCTCTGAAAAGAAATCTACACTGGGTGAAATTTCCCCATGAAACTTAGCTATATTTACTACTTCTGTTTTCCTTCATATTTTGTCTAAAGGCATTCTAATACATATTCACATTTATTTCCTTTTTTCCCCCTGAGAAACATTTCCTTTAGATCTATTCTAATCCTTCTTTTTTACACCTTTTCCCCAATTTTAACAGCTTATGGAATTTACAAAACAAAATTAGTATGCTCTTGATTTATTGTACACTTAAGATCAAAACTATCTCCTGCTTCGTACCTCCTCTAAGTTCAGACCTCAAGATTCTCCTTTGCCCCGATTTTTTTTCATTTTACTTAAAAATGCCCTTTTTTCCTATTACTCAGAGAATCATAGAAAAAAGTACAAAAATTGCTAAAACTAACCTTTTGATTTAAAACAATATATATGTATAGGTGTGTATGTATGTATATCTATATGTATGTATGTATAAAACAATCAGTAACCACATACTGAAAAGGGGGGAAGAGGAGTAAAGAAGAAGGTGAATTAATTTTCTTTGGTGCTGATAACTTTAAGAATTTAAAAGAAAAACTGGCTCAGGTGTTGGACAAAATTGTGCTATTTATAATTGACATCACATGTGAAAATTGAGTGCCCCCCAAGACTTTAAATATAGCAGAATTCCACTAGTAAAAATAGACAAAATAGCTGTCACTCCTAAATTTAAAAAGTCATTCTTAGACATGGAAGTTTAAACATGGTCTAGCCAATACCACAATAATAATAATAATAATAATGGGCTGAAATGTAGAAAAATCTAATAAAAAAGAAAAAAGCAACCAGCTTTTTGTTTTATTTTCAAGTTGTCATCCAGAAGTTAATTGCCTTTTTTTCCCTTCTTCACTGTACTTAATGTTTGCATTTTAGAGTTTTTCCCCACTGAGCTGTGTGGCCACAGCCTTGAGTCGCTTATGTAAAATAATGCTTCTTCAAAGACTTCATTCCATCCCTTTGTTTTTCCCACTGAAAGAAACAAAAATATGTGATTATTTTATTGAAAAAAAATATTCCCTACTTCCCTCTTCTGACATTCCTAACTGGTATTGATGGTTCTTTTTAAGAACAGGTAGGCATTGCCAGGTATTATACCTTTAATCCCAGCTATTGTGCAGAATGGCACTGGCAGATCTCTTGAGCTCTAGAATTCCGAACTTCAGTGGGCTATGCCTATCAGATTTCCACACTTCGTTTTGTCAGTAATATGGGGTGGGTGCTCTCCCTCTTCTCCCACTGAGTTGGGGACTAACAGGTTGCCTAAAGACAAATGAACCAGCTCAGGTCTGAAATAGTGCAGGTCAAAAGTTCCCAAAGGGATCGACAGTGAAATAGAGCCATGGATAATAGCCTGAGCTTTTCTAGACTGAGTGAGACGGGGACATCTAGTATTTGAAACTAATGTCACATAGGGCTAACATAAATGTCTTTTGAACATTGGAAGGTTTCATGTTAATTGTTCTCTTTTAAGATTTTGTTTTCTTTTTAATTCTTTCCTGTTCATCAACAAGAAAATTTGTAGAAGGATAATCAACACAGTACAGCACAGAACACCAAATAGTTAGGTTTTCCAAATTAAGTAAAAGAAATGTCAAGCATTTTCACCTTGTAGCTCATTCAACAACTAACAAAACAAGGTTTAGTTAGCTAGCTGTAGTTTAGAAAGGATAATCAGCAAGAATACTACAAACCTTAGCTTGGGCAGAATCAATACCAGCCATATATCCTTTCGATAGAGTGCTAAGACCTGGAGTCAGGAAAACCTGAGTTCAAATCTGATCTGAGACACTTACTATGATCCTGAGCAAGTTACTAAATCTTTTTCAGCCTCAGTTTCCTCATCTGTAAAATGGAGTTAATAATGGCAGCTACCTCCCAGGGTTTTTTGTAAAGATAAAATGAGATATTTGTAAAGAGCTTTGAGTGCATTAAAATACTATATAGATACTAGTTGTTACATTGAAATGCATCTACATCTGGAAGGAGTGTGTTCTTGAAACATTCACCCTTTCTGAAGATCCTCAATTGTCCACATAGGCGAGCATTTTTGTGTCTCTAAGTGAGCCGGAAACTACCTCAGTTGAGCCAGAGGCTACTAAGAAGATACATCAAGGGCAGCACAAATTAACTTTTGTGTCCCTGGGCCAATCATGTTCCAGGGAGAGTTTTTTTCACTTTTTGGAGAAAAAAAACCTAGCTTAACTTGCATAGGTGAAAGGACTAGGATATTTCTCACACTATCTTTCTATCCCTTACCAAAGATCTTAAGATCTTCTAGTGGAATTTTCACCACTTAGATAATTTTAGGACTGTTACTAGATAATACTAATCTTGTTGATTTGAGGGTCCTGCAGTAAACATTGCTAGGGAAAAAGAGACAAAGACCTAAAAAGATAGGCGACTTAAAAAACCTAATGCCTCTTGAAAGAATGGCAAAAAAATGAAGAGGACAAAGACTAGAAATCTTCAGCTTTTCCTCAACACTTTGGAAGTACCATGTCCCAGATCTCAATGATCTAGTCCATGTTGTGTGTGATACCAAATCTTGACAGTTACACACCTACTATGGTAAGTCTCCTGATGTAAAATGGCAAAAATGAGCAGAAGCAACACCAGCAACATCAAGAACACCAAACAGATTGTGGTTAACATCTATAGGAGTCATAGATTTATCTGTTGATATAAAGTAGGTTTAGTACCAAGGACTTTAGAAGGAAACTACTGATGGTGACATCTGTCATTGTTACAGATTCTTCATATATCAGTCACCTGAAGTGAAGTGGCCAAGAAGTCATAGACTTCTTGCATACAGCCAGTCCAAGAATCTAAGCTGGTAACTGAAGCTTTCTCAGTATTGTCTCCCACTCAATATTCCTGAGCTCATCACCAAAACCTTTATCTCTTTGACAGCCACATCCTTACATGGGATCACACCGAATTTTCCTCCATTAGAGAGCTCTGTGGAGGGGCTGCCTCCTTCCACAGAAACTAAATAAAAGACCCTTCCTTACATTCATCCAAGGATTCAGAATCACCACTAAGTCAGCTGGAGGGTCACTAATGCTTACAAATTAATAATACATTCACCATAGTTCCACAATGTGACAATTTTAATACCCCCCATTGCTATTATGAAGCATCTCATCTCACAACAATACAACCTCTTGATCCCCATGCTCTTTTTGAAGAGTTGTCTAAATCAAAGCAGAGGAAATAAGTCTGCCAATTTGTGTCCTCCTGCGCTATATTTCTAGGTTATATATAGCCCACTGAGAAAGCAAACACTTCAAGGCCCAGGTAATTGATAGGGAGAAATAAAGAAAGGCCAGAGTGTGTAAATTGGAACTGTGTCCAAATATAGTCCATTCTTGCTAGGCAAATTTATTGGAGATTAAATTTAAAATATTGTTGGATTGGCAACTCCTTGCCTTTTGGTAGTTGTTATTGATTCATTGGTTTTTTGATATTGAAGCCTCCCACAGCTCATGAGGTGGAAATCTGGGCTGGGCAATTTTGTATAATGGCACAAGATGTTGATTAGCACGGACAAACCTCTTGCACTGAGATGAGAATGTACCATTTTACCATTTGGTGGCAAACTGAGGGCCACTTGGGTTAGGGGATGCTCCTACTGGTACAAGTAGCTCAGTTGTGCAGGAATAGCTGCCTCATGCTTAGGGAGATTACATGGTCCCACACTCTGAACAATGTGGCATCACTCTTCCAAAGTCCAGATTTGTAATGGACTCATTTCCATTTTCTGTTGTTGTAATGACTCCAGCCTAGTTGATTAGATCCTCAAAGAGCACAGGATGCCATTGATGGATGTTGACAGGTACATAAATACCTGTATGCAGTGGGAAGCTTCAGCAAAATGCTTCCATTGCTCCCCCCCCTATAGGCTTTGGTTGTCCATTCCTGTCCTCTCCATGACCCAGACCATTTGGCTACCACTTCTATAAACAGTATAGATGAAGATCATCTCTGCTCAACTCCTCAGGGCTCACTCATATACCAGCCACATGGCCTGCAGCTCTACTCACTGGGGATATTTGCCTGTTCCCCTGGCTCCCTAGATTAGTGGCTGCTGAAATCTATGTGTATAGTAGATGGAGCCTGCTGGCAAACTGCGTGATATGGTATTTCTTGGGAGTGAGTTCCTTATAGGTGACACCCATTTGACTAGTGGATGAGGCAAGGTTCTAGGGTCTGGACTGGAAGCCTTGGTTTCTAACACAGCCACAACCTTTTTGTGAAAAGCACTAAGACCTTGAAGAGTGAAATTTAAAATGTACCACTTTCATTACATCCATATTGT